TTGAATGCATGTTAATTATTATTTATCATCCACTAGTATCATTAGTTATGGATGTAGAATAGGTCAATGATATTGTGAATGATATTCTGGTTGAATCTAATCCTCCTCTATTCACCAGTATCATTAGTCATGGATTTAGAATTTATCAGTGATATTGGGAATTACATTCTGGTTGAAAGTTATCCTCCTCTATGAAAAATAATTATTGCAGGGAATTTCAACATTGATAAGCTTCGGACCTCTAAAAAAGCCAATGACTTTGTAAATACCCTTAAAGGCTGTTGTCTTTAATTTGTCTATAATACTAGTGCTGGAACTAGTCATAAAAATGGTAATAGAACTTGCAATAATAATATCTGTACTAATCTGTATAATGTGCTTTGTACCTATCAACTACCAAACCATATGAAGTACTTGTATCAGCATTAAATATAGATGTTACACCAAGTGGAGTATTAATACCTTCTCCTATCTTGAATAAACAGTACCCAGCGCTCAACTTTTAATTTTTTAAAGTGCTACTGTTCTCCTCTTAGTCAATCCACACTTACGCAGAGAACACAGTCCTGTCAAAATGACATCAAGTGAGGTCAGTGTCTAAATTTTGTCACTTTGGTCATCACATGACATAACATGATATCAAATTGATGACAAAGTGGGCCACCAAATTGACAAAACTTTGATACCGACTTCTCTTGATGTCATTTCGACAAAACCGTGCCGCCTGGGTATATAATTAAAATCTAACAGCAGTCCTGATTTCTGTATGCATTTTAATTTACATGTGTGCTTAAGGAAGATTTGATCCATTTCCCTGGATAATTTGTAGTTACAAGACAAAGCGTCGTCCAATGATATCAACCTGAGCTCCTTGTTGAAATTTCGTCCCAATAAGTCCTAAGAACATCAATCCTTTTGACGAATCTCTGTTCCATGAGTGTACAAGATATGTTAAGAGTCTGTTGGATTACCCCAGAGAAAAAAGATTGTATTAAATAGTACAGAAAATTTTGAGAGCAGACTGACTGTACTACTGAGTGTCACATATTTGGCAAGATGTGAAACATGATTCTACCCTTCCTAATCAAAATTACTTAACGTCATGCAATGCATATAACCTTGTTTTTCTGCTCAGCATAATTTTAAAGATTTAACTGATGCGACTGCATTTATAAGAGACAATATTGAAATTCGTTGTGGTCCATAGCACTGTCTCGGCAAAGACAACTGAAAGAAACTAGACTCTTGATCTCTACAGGGATAATTTACAGAGATGTGTTTTCATTCATGAGATTCTAATTATTAAAACCATTTGTGTCTCAAATCCAGAGGTGTATATCAACTCTCATAACAGGCAGAATTAGCTGAGTTTAACTTTCGGTCAAACTGCTTCAAAAGCATATGAGGAGGGAATAAGTAATGCGTCGGGGCTGTCTGTAAACTAAACCTGAAACTCTGCACTTCGCAAATACAATAGCAAACTTGAATTGAAAACGTATAGAGAGCAATAGGTTAGGAAGTGCGGGATGCAGTAATATGTACAAAGGGTATGGTCACTGAACATTTTGTGTAAGTTAGCTCCAATACTGAAGCGGTTGTCGTATCATCAAATTTTGCGAAACAACATTTCTAAAAGTAAAACTTATGCTGCTCGTGCTTACTTCGAAATAAATAAATAAACAGCTAACCAGCTAACTCTTCAGCTAACTCTTCCTTAAGTACTGCTTAAATTTTCATAGCAAGCACCCTACCCCCCACCACCGAACTTGTTAGCTAGAACCGAAGTGGAGCTGGTGCCAGGTCGAGGCGTTCGACTTTTTTGAGTCTAGCAATACATCTATATGCCCAGTCAGAAAAATGAATTTATTCTTCACATTCTTTATTCGAAAATACTTAAAAGGGGCCACCAAAGAAAAGATACCGACCGAAAGCCGGGTAAAAGTAGAGGGGGCACCCGGGTTTGAACCGGGGACCTCTCGATCTGCAGTCGAATGCTCTACCACTGAGCTATACCCCCCTCTTGGAACCACATGCGACAAACACAGCATTTCATACACCAGCAACAGCATCTATTTATCACAATTAGAATACATGAGCCGGGAATGACACTGTGTCAACTCAAAGAATTCTAATTTTTTTCAAGAAAAGTGTAGTTTGATATACTTAAAGTAATGATAGATCACAATAATGATGTCATGTTTCCATGGAGTTGATGGTTTTGAGTAATAAAGATCGAAAAATTTTCACTCCATTGAGAAAATCTCTCTTAATCTTGTGTATCTTCAAGAAATTTTTGGAGTGATTGAGAATTTTATTTTATTGCAATGGAGACAGGTTCCTTATCTGAAAAGTCACTTACGCTTCCATATAACTGCTTCGCAAAGAAAAAGGATTTGTATCAGCAAAATCCATGGATTGCTTCAAGAAAGAGAATGCCAGTAGTGGCAGAATACCCTACACCTGGCCCGAATGCCATGCCAATGCCATCATATTTAGGTACAGTGTGTGAGAAACTCTTAAAAACCCGAAGTTTAATACAAAGACAAGTACCATTCTTTTTTTTTCCTTATTTTTAAAGGAACTCAAGTGATGAATTCATCAATTACCCATCGACCAGCATGGAGCCTGTATCCTAGGTTGACTTTACACCATTTTTTATCTAGCATTTCTTGTTAAATGACAAAAATTAACTCAGCTTTCAAAGACAGGACCGAACAAAGGAAAGCATATTATCCAGCTGGACCTGCTTCTTATAACACGAGAAACCTGAAGTCACAGGGTGGTAGGTCCAAATATCTAAATGAAAAATAAATGTTGTGATGTCCTCACTATTTTTGTGCTCCCCTCAAAGGGAAAGCTTCAGCACCAGCTTACACCATGAGAATCAAACCAGGAATACGCTCACTGCAAGAACTGCCAGGACCAGCATCATACAAGGTGAAAGCAAGGCGCATATTACCAAAGGCACCTGCCTTTTCATTCCGGATAAAGCCAGTGCCATCCTCTTCATCCCAAACGCCAGGTAAATGATTTCAAAATTTGCACATCAGAAGAATTCTTCCATTTATCTCCATGGTGTTTCAGGGCCAAATGAGTACTCCCTTCCCACAATATTGGGACACCACAAGACACCCCCAGCTCATGTTCTAGGGTATAGATTGTATGACAAAGATACTTTTGTAACACCTGGACCAGGGGCATACGCACATGATAATTTTTCAAGAGTTCTTCAACATGCTCCTGAGTTTTCTATTCGAGAAAAATTAACAGAGAAAACAGACAAGGGCACTCCAGGTCCTGGTGCTTACTGCCATGAGAAAGTAAGAACCTAATACTTGATCTTGTCATAAATTGGCATGAGTAGAAATTTAAACTTTGCAAAATTCATTGCATAGGTGATCCAGCATCTTCCCATGGCCCCAAGGTCAACTTTTGGGATTAAGCATAGTCCATTTACTGGAGTTTGGAATCCACGAATAGTTGGGCCACGCCATTGTTAGAAGGACAAACAAAATCTCCTCATCCTTTCTTTATATTTCAGACAACAAACACAAGATAGCAAATCTTCAAAATTACAGGGTTTTGTGAATATATAAACTTCTTTCAAGTTAAAAGTCAAACAAATAAATAGACAAATAGTGACTACTTAAAATTAGCTTGAATAGATACCTATGATTTACATAATCTGTCAATAAATATTTTTAAATTTTTTAATAAAAGTTAATAAGGAACTTATAACATCTACAAACTCTTATCAGACAAGTGCTTCAAGGCAACATCAACTTGTTGATTGTTTCACCTTCATTTGAGCAAACTTTTCACCAAGTTTCTTCATAATATCTCCGTGTTTAAAATCACTATGATCTTGTTTTATCAGACCATAGTTCTCTTTGACAAACAAAGCAAATCCACTTGGTGCCTTTGGTGCCTTTGGTGTCTCTGAGTCTTTCTCCTTAGTGTTTGGACCTTTAGAACTAAGAAAGACTTCGAAAGTTCCGTAACAGTAACCACAGCGTTTCTTGTCCAGATCAAGTGATTTAGAGTGCCGACCAAAGCTGAAAATAGAGACCATACACATCATAAGAACTGATCACAACAGTTGATAGGAGAGCTTTGTTTTGATAATTACCTGTAGCCACATTTAGTGCATCTGTAAGTAAATTTGGTTTCTATTTTGTAAGAATGACATCTCTCAATTGGGGGGAGTTCAGGAAATCTCTTCATTGCCTTGTGTGCCCTAAATTAAAAGAAAATTTCATGGCGTTTACAGTCCTGAGTTAACAATAGATAAGTAAAAATTCAAACAGTGCCTGCTAACCATGCTTTCCAGAACGGGCCATGTCCGCCTGAGACATTGTTCAACAGCCATACTGCAGCATGACACATTTCATGAATCAGAGTGTCTCTTAAACGATCAGGAGATGTAATGACTTTAGTAGATAAATCAATCTTAGTAGTGCGAGATGTCACACCACCTTTTCTTACGAGTTTACAGTAACATAAGCCAGCAGTGCGCACCAAGCGAGCATTCCACTCTAGCACCATATCATCTGGAAGCTGAAAGGTACATGAACTCAAGTTAGTGGTTCAATGAAAAATACCAGCAGATATTGTAGAAATGGTACTCACTCTCCGATCAAACACTTCCCGGTTAAAGAGCTTAAACAGACGGCGAGTAAGCTCCTCTTTCTTCCCCTTGAAATTCTTACTATAAATAACTGCTTCTGGATGGTCCCTAACACCAGGCTGATGTGTTGGTCCTGCAATTATTAGCTTTAAATATAACTACTTTTCCTTAAAAATAACACTTGTAGCTTCCAAACCACTGTCTTACCTGACAATGATGAGAGGAAAGTCCGAATGGGTGAGTAAGGAGTTTGAGGAGACTTTAAAGCTGCTACATTTTTGGGTGTCTTGAAGGGCTGAGTGCCTAGAATATTTTTAAAGAAGGTTTAAAAGAAATTGTCAATTGTTCTTTAGAAAAATAAATAGTAAATGGTAGTTGAATATTACTTTTAGGAATATTTGAAGTTAACTTAGGAGTGTCCTTCAGCTTAGATTTTGGTAAATCTGATTTGGAGGATGATGTGGAACCAGAACCACTGCCTGAAACTACCCTCTTATTCCTTCGATTAGTAGCCTTTGGTTTCATAGGCTCGTCTGGATTGGAATCATCACTATCTGAACTTTCTACTGAATTGAATCTTTTGACACTTTTCTTATGCTTTGTCTTTCTGTTCACAGCCACTTTACCCCTGGTGGGTGGTGGTACAAAGTCGTAACTAGATGTGTCACTTTCAGTACCTTTTTTCATACTTTTATCAGAACTAGATTCATCAGAATCTAACTTCAAGGGACGAACTTTCATAAAACTATCCATCTGAAAAGATACGTAAATATAGATCAAATTCCTCTGTTTAACTAGTTTTACACTAATGATTCGAGACCTTCCACACTAGAGGAATTAGAAATTAGTTCAATGGTCTGACCGTACATTTTTGCTTACCTGGCGTTTTTGTGTTTCTCCAACACAGGAATGATGATTTTCTCCTATCTTATCTTCATGGCCAAAAATCTGTCTTTTGGTCATAGACTTCACCGATCTGCAAAAACATAACTACAGTTAAATTTGTCACAGGCAATGACATTCTCAGAGATCATCAATACTGTATGTAGCTACTTACTTCTTGACTGATTTGACTTCGGCTCTAATAGATCTTGTTAAGTCAGAATGATATACATTGAAAGATGGAGACTCAACTACATCACTGGCAGCCTCATCATCAATAAATGAGCCATTTTGAAAGGAATTTTTCCTAGGGGCAATTTCCTTCTTGGCTGTATTTGTTTTTTTCCTTATTGAAGCCATAACTAAAAGTAATGATGAAAGATAAATTGAACAATACCTCGAGAGCTTGGCCAACTACAAAGAGTGGAAAATGGAAGTTCACTTACGTGCTTCAAAGTTGTCATCACTCTCACTTCCAGAGGAAGATCGTCGCGCAGCTATTAACCTGAAAGCGGTCAATTCACATAAAAATAACAGAAACAAAACCAAAAATTAAGAAAACTGTATTGATCATACATGGACTAAGTTTGTTACAAATGAACACTAAAATTTATAATACATTTAAACGTCTCTTAAAATGTGGCAGCACAAACCTTGATTTTTGATGAGTGTTCTGACATGTATCAGGAGTCAGATTGTCAACTTTCTTCTTAGGCGAGCGTTTTTCACAAGATGTAGAATCATCCAAGTCACTCTCTGAATTGCGCCCAGCTGTAAGCCATCTTTAAGAAAAAGAAATCCAAATCAGTCTAGTCTTTAAAATATAAAGTGACCAATAAACAAAATTGTTTGTAATTAAAGACACACCTGGCTATGTCATTATATTTTTCTTTAGAGATAGAACTCGTTGCTTTACTGAGTGCATTAGCCTTAATGCCTTCATCACTACATTTGCTTCTTTCCTTGTTGCTGACTGTTGATTCTTCCATAACCAAATGAAAGTCATCCTTCCAAGAAGATGCAGTCAAGTCCGGTTCTTTAGAACACTCTTTTGCTTCGACTCTCACTTTTGGAAAGTAATCGTCACATTGTTGCTTCCTCGGCTCAGAAAAACCTGGTTTTGTCCTGCCTGGGCTACAGTTAATTTTGTGCATATTACCATTTTTGCAATCATCTTCAGATATGAGAGATTCATTTTCACTACTCTCTTCGCACTTTTCTGGACTTGGAGGAATAACATGGCCACCTTGAAGTCTTTTGAGACTACGAGTGCTACTGATTGAGCTGCTGGATAAACTTCTATCACTTTTAACACTGGGAGGAATGATAATATCACAATTATTATAGTCTCCAGCAGAAGTACTGCAGTTATCTTCCTCTTCAGATGTTTCAATAATGACAGTATCACACAATTTCTTCTTTTCACACTTTCCAATTGAGGAGAAAATGTTACTCTTAGGATAGGTTTCACTGTCACTTTCATCAGATGTTAATAGCACAGACGCACCAATTTTGGTTTTCTTCCCATTTTTTCGAAAAGACTCAGGAGAAGAATCAGATATACAGACAATACTCTCATCACATCCAACCGGAAAAGGACACGCGGTAAAATATTCTGTTCCAGAAGAAGAAGAACTACCGTTTTGAGCTGTATGTAAACTAATGACAGTGGACTCAACACACTCATTCTGATTTCTGGTGGGAAGTTCACATCTCGTAGATTCAGCAACAGGAATAGAAAACGTAGACTCTTGAGTATTTAAAGACATTACAGAATGCTTCTTAAGTTCAGCTCCAACGTCAATCATACTAGAGTCTGATTCATCTGATGTGAGAAGGTCTGAATCACTCAATTTAAAGATTGGTTTCTTGAAATAGCGTTCCGTGATAGGGGCTCTGTTTTCCTTTCCATCATGTCCCACGGTGTTTCCTTTGCGAGTTTTAAGGGATAATTTCGTATCTCCTGTAAAAGATAAGAAATGTCAATGCTGGTTTAAAGTCCCCCCCCATTTGTCAACATGCCACCATGATGCACACCAATCTTACTGTTTCGTTGCTGGCTGATCTTTTGGTTTCTATTTCCTGGACTCAAAGCCCGAAAGGGCAGAACAGGATCCATAGCACGTACACGGGGAAAAACGTTTCGAACCCGCACCTTTCGATGGAAGAAATCACATACCCTATCAACACGCGTTGACAGATTTCAAACTGGTCTGTTTCATGCAACGCCTTTCAAACAACACAAAGCAGGTAAAGGTTTTCTTCATTCGACAAATGTTGCCAACACTCTTCACACTTCGAAACTGTTGAACCTTACCGCTTTTTTGCATTCATCATTAATATGACTATAAATTTGTTCACAACAATAGGATATATTATTTTTAATCTAGTTTTAAGGTTTATTGGATATATGTATCGTGTCAAAATATGTCTATATATTTGCTAGAGTTGGTGTACACGATCAGAGACGGTTGATCCTTCTAGCGCTCCATTGTTTTCCTCAAATTTAAAATTTAATTTGCTTCTGTGGCTGGACTGTTGTTTCTCGTCTTTGGAGACGTCGTAGACCCCAGCATGAAGAAAAACGATTATTAGCTTTACTTTTGGCTTTTCAGTCGAATATTTTGTCAGGACGCGGGACGCGCTCCATGCAGACGGAGGCGCTGCGGGTGGGCCGTCCACTCCGCACAGCTGCTTGGCGGTTGGCCTACCTAGAGTCCTACCATGTGTTGCCTCGCGTCACCCTGCATGCAGGAGCACGTTTCTTTGGCGAGCGCCTTAAGCGGGGTTCGATTGTCAGGGAAGTGAGCTATGGTAGGCTGTTTTTCATTTGAATGCAAACATCAGATCTCAATAGCACTAGTTTTAATGTTATCGCACGTATTTACAGTACAGAGAAGAACATACTTTTGGGCGCGTGAAATTATAAATTATAACACGTTTCCAACTCAAAATTATTAGGTACGATATGCAACTTAACGAGGTAGAGAGTCTTTTCATTTTTATTTCTCAATAATGAAAGTCGGCTACATTCAGAAGTGCATTTCAGATGCGACGTCACGGAATCACTGGTCTTTACATAAGTAGTCTGGAACATGGTCAATGAATGCCTTCTATTTCTAACACACTACTATACACCTATCGTGGCCATGGAATGTGTACCATTATCAGTCGAGGAACATATCGAGGGGAAAGCTTCATATGGGTATGGCACAGGTGTCTGGGCCTGAGCCTGAAACATGGCCCTGCACCGCAAATTCCTCGGCCACGTACGCGGCGCGTCGGCCCAAAGTATAAGTAGGTCTAGGTATCACAGATGGAGCGGTCCAGCGCTGACCGCGGGTGGTCCACGGGTGGACAGGGATGCTGGGTGGCGATGGCAGGTGCAGCACGCAGCGGGAGGGAGTCACCGGCACCGGTCCGCTTGGCGTCGGCGAGAGCAGGGGATGGCACACCCGCACCCGCGCGGCACCGCGCGCACTGGGCGGGCCGTAGCGCCCTCTCTACTTGCTCTGCTGCCGGTCGTGCTCGATCTTCTTGACCAGCCTGGCGATGAACTCCTTGAGGACGGGCTCGCGGTGCTTGCCCATGTCGATCACCTCCGCGTGGTTCGGCTCCTCGTAGCTCTCGTAGTCGGTGACACTCTTGTTGGTGATGAGCGAGAAGGCGAACGAGGTCATGCCGCAGTGGCGAGCAGTGATCACCTCGTGCACGGTGCTCATGCCTGCGAAGGAGAAGGAGTTAGTACCAAACTTGTAACTCTATGCTGCTCACACCACGCCATCTCCCGAACACTAGTACTCACCAACGGCGTCCACGCCGAGGGCAGCCAGCATGCGAATCTCGGCGATGGTTTCGAAGGAGGGTCCACCCACAACAGAGTAAACGCCCTCGTGCACGATGTTGTTGATGTTCATCTCGGAGGCCACCGCCTTGGCCATGCGGCGGACGCTGTAGTCGTAGGCCCTGTTGATGGCGGGGAAGCGCGGTCCGAACCTGGAGACAATGACCTGCGGAGTCAGCTGGGCCCGAGGCTGGGGCGGTGCAGAGTGCAGCGCTGTGGCCACAGTATGGTCACTGGCGAGGACTCACCTCTCATCGTTGGGTCCCATGAGGGGGTTGTTGCCGGCGAAGCCCAGGAGGTTGATGTGGTCCTTGATGATCATGATGTCGCCGACCTTGTAGTTGTTGTTGAGGCCTCCGGCCGCGTTGGACGCCAGCAGGTGGGTCACTCCGACGAGCTTCATCACTCGCACGGGCATGGCGCACTGCGGGGCCGGACAAAAGAGGTGAGAGGGAGGTCCGGGACGGAAGCAGAGTGGTAACCTACCGCACCGACGAGACACTCACCTTCCATAGCGGGTAGCCCTCGTAGTAGTGGAAGCGGCCCTGCATGCACATGACGGGCACGTCCCCGAGGTAGCCGAACACGAGCCTGCCCATGTGGCCGGGCACGGTGGGCGTCGGGAAGTAGGGGATGGTCTCGTACGGGAAGGACGTGGAGTCGGTGAGGGCGTCGGCCAGGCAACCTGTGGTCCCGTCTTGACGTCACACAACTTGCATCAGTATTGTCATCACACTCCAGCAATACCCCTGCCCGGCTGACGCGCCTCGAGGAAGGCAACCCAACCAACACGACGCATGGCTCTTACAGGAGCGCAGGAACGCACTGCCATTGGCGTGTGATAACTCTGTGATAGGTAGTTGTGCACGGTTTGGAATAGAGAGGATAGGAGCGAGAAGAATTCTCCAGCATTTAAGTCTCTTTAGAAGTAATGTGTGGGTGGAAACAGATATACTTTACAGTGAACCCCGAGCAAAACCCGAACAGCGAGTGACAGGAAGTGCAAAAATAGTAGAAGAACCAAGTTTGTCTTATACGACGTTTTTTCTTTTTGTTTGTTTTTTGGGAACCCCTCCTCGGCGCAGTTACATGTTTTCGAGGAGGATTCGCAAATGAAACTCACCCATTCCGGACCCGCAGATTATACCGATCTTGGGCCTGATAGTGACTCTGCTTAGCAGGAACTCGGCGACGGACTGGACGATTTCGTAGGTGCAGCTGGAAAAGATTACGAGGTTAAATGGTGGAAAGATGAGCTCCGACAGTCCACTCTGCTAATTGAAGTACACACAACAGTTTAAAGAAGGACATTCTGTAATGGTTGTCCTACTTTACATAAATCTTACTCTCACTTATGGGTCTTATTCTAATGACGTTACCAATCAGACAGACATGTCCTACTTTACGCAAGTGATCCATGTACCAGGCGTTAGGTGGGCTGACTGGCCCCGTCACTTCCACATCTTGTAACGGGTGTCAAGGCTACTACACCCCAGTGATGCGGGCTTGCCTACTGTGGGAACCGTGGTGCCTTCTGGGACCGGCCAGATAGTACGTCCGTTTTGTTTTTTTCAGGTACATTGAGAAAATTACGGGAGCTCAGCGCCTGCGAAGCTCGGGGTAGGCCACCCCGCAACTCGCATGCATTGGAAGCAAGATGTTGCCTACCTACCAGGCGTTATGGGAGCTTGCATAACTTAACAGGTTCATGACAGTGAATAACGGACGTACTCTCTGGATGATCCCTACGGACGGTACGTCGTTTTCTTGACAAAGGTAAGCATGCACTCGTGCGAGCAGTTTGTTGAGAAAAAATGTCAATGCGACTTAATGACTTTCATTGGTCTAGGTCAGGTCTAATGTTGAAAGGTGCGAGGTACTCGTGTCCTACTTCATCAAATGTAAGACAAGAATGTCTCACTTCAGATAATCCGTAGAACACCCTGCCTCACTTTCAGTTATGTTCCGCTGCCCTACTCGTATCGTATGTTATCAGTGTGATCTACTCTTCCATCACCAATCACCTTTTACCCCGAACACCCATCCACCATATCTCCGCTTTTCGACAAGTTGTCACCGAGCCGAAAGTGACTGACAAGTTAGTTCGTGGTCAGACTCTCGACTTATAGATGATCACCAGGGGATGAACAGCTAAAACCAACCACCACCAACTAGCCACTCCACTAACAGCCCCGCCCTCCCCTTAATCAACTAGCACCAGCACCACCTGACCACCACCACCACCAACACGACCGCCACCTCCACCACCAGCATCACCCACCACCACCACCACTGCTGGCTACCTGTTGTACGGAGAGTAGGGTTCAATGCGGCACTGCAAGGGGTCGGCCGGGAACCTGCGGGGGGATCATGGGGTGCCATTATGGACAGCAACAACAGCGACTCACATCCTCTTCATTACCTCCCGCGCCATGGCTTATTAGCTCCCCCCCCCCCCGGCCCCTCTCGTCGCCGCTCGGTACAGACGTACGTGCGTTCGATCTCTACTACGGTTCGATCATTATGTCATTCCGTTGGGTTTGAGGCGGCCGGGCCGGCGGCGGGTCGGCTCTACTCGCCGCACAAGGACGCCGGGCAGCGCCGCCGCCGCGCGTCTCTGGTGCGTGCGACTCTGATGATGCTCCACCGGCAGCGGCCGATTAGGAAAGGAATCCGATTATATGTGTTTTGGTCATTTGTCGGGCAGCAGCGGCGGCGGGGCGCGCCGCGTCAGATTCGCGCACGCTCTCCTCTCTCCCTCCCTCCCTCTCTCTCTCTCTCTCTCTCTCTCTCTTTGTCGGGCGTCGTCAATTTTCTGCGGGATGGGAATTGTAAAAAATAAAAAGAAGAATGGAAAAAAAGGTGGTCGTATAACCCTGGGGGCCGAGTCCGAGAGGTTATCGCAGCCTCCGCCCCGCGCGGGCCGGCCCTCGGGCCATGAGGAGATCGCATTTGCGCGATGTGTTTTTTGCACTGCTTGGGATGGGACCCGTAGGATGAAATGGCAAAAATGGCGTCCGTTTAATGCTTTCAGCCTATTCGGTGGATCGAACCACTGCGCTATGTGGTGCCCCGTCACAGGCCAAGATTTTTGTTTCTTGTTCTTTTAGTAAAAGTTTTGTTAATGTGTGGTATGGCCTGCCTGCCGCCGGAGAGCTGCTGCTGTACCGGCCACCGGCCGGTCGGTGTGTAGACGGAGGTATGTTAATTCGAGCTCCAACGCGAGATTATAACCGGCTACTACCACTATCTGTCACGGCATAACTAACATTTGTTGTAGCGCAAGCAAGCAAGAGCCCGGCGTGGACCACCACGCGCCAGCCATGTCGAGGGGAAAGAGGGGGGGAGGGGGGGCACACGGACATATCGGCCTGGACAACTTAATGCGCCCGTAAGTATACAAAGCCGCAATTAATACGACGCGCCGCGCGCTCGGGTCATCTGACGGGCTAATGGCGTCAGACACAAACTCCTTCCCGGTGCTGCCGAGCTGAGCTCCGCCCAGCAGAGCATATGACGTGAGAGAAGAGCGCTCCACGCTGCTGCTCTTCG